TGAAATTGACACTTTTTTGTTGGAGTTCTTTTGTTTGGATTCCAGAGTTGGTTGTGCGGGGAGCATGAAAATTGATCGTTTGGTTTAATCATTTAAACGAAAACTGTCCATAGATCGGATTTTACTTTTGCTTTAAAATTAAGGACCAATTCAGTGTGATATGGACGATTTTTTAACAAATTTTATTGATTTTATGTGAATGAGTTTTTCAAAATGTTAATAATTAAAATTGACTAATGGATATTTTTTTGCATTATTGATTGAATTTGGGGTAGTTCCTAATAATCTCAAATTTTAAGCTCAGCTTATAAAAATACTTTCTTGAGTGAATTTTGCTATTTTTTGAATTTTTAAAGTCAGACATAAAGTTATGACTCCCATTCTATACTTTTTTCATAAAATGCTACAAAGTATTGCAGGTTTAAGACAGCATTCCAAACACCAAACTTTTCAAAATTATTTGACGGATCAAGGCATTAAAGTTGCTTATTTCAGTGTTTCTCAAATTTTGGTAGTTTCACCATTTTTATTCTACAGTACACTTGAGAAGCTCTAATGGACACAATTTAAGAACCACTGTATTTGATTAAAGCCACCGACATACTTTAATAAAAAAAAAAGACCAAAATACCTCCATAAAATTCTATTAAAAATTCAACACTGACTAATCTTTATCATCCCCTGACATAAAAAAATATGTATTTTTAATGGATGAATTAAAGAAGAGCGTCAAACTTTTACCACGCGAGATTTATGTAAATTCTGTTTCCTTCAATCGTTTCGAAATATCCGATGAGTAAGCTTCATTTCATCTACATTTTTTTTGAGATAACAAAATTGAAATTTATCGATGTTACATAATACATATTGGATAATCAACAAGAGGATAGGGAAAAAAATATTTATTGTACGAAAAGAAATTAATGGATTTTAAATCGCATGTTTTTATGCCTGTGGAGTAATGAATCTCCTTCCGTTTTAACTTTCGTCTATCTGCCTACAACATAGATTCATCCTCATGCATTGATACTCAAATATTTGTCAAAATGATTTCTTTTTTTGCCATTACTTCTTTACATTGTGTGACTCAAATATTTGTCGAATATGGAAGAAGCAATAGCAAGAGAAAAAAAAAGAATCGTCTCTTTTGTTGTTTAAATAAATGCCTTCATCTTGATGCCTTTAAACGATTTTTATTGTTATTTGATTTCATTTTTGAATGCCTTAACATGATGTTGATTGTTGTTGTTGTTGCTGCTGTGGATTTTTATCATTATTATTATCTTTTTATGAATATGAATGTGAGGAGGAGCAGATCATTCTCTTGAGTAATATTAATTCAAGCTGCTTTTGAGTTGCCTGCGTGAATTATTTATACGAAATTTTATTAAACTTTGTAAATTAATTTGATTAATTTTTGGCGATAGATTTATGGGTATTTTAGAAGTTGCAGCTTTAGTCATCATGTTTAGGGACGAACTACATATTCGAACTCAAATTCAAATTGAATGTGGATATATTGTTTTTTTAAATCAAGCTACAAACAGAACAGCATGAGACCTTAAATTTCCAGATTTCAGTCAGAGCAATAAACCTTTTTATTTTCCAAAAGCACTTATCATTTCCACTGTGACTCCTCATTTACATTTTTTTTTCGAAAACGAATTCTCAAAATCATTATCCTAGATTAGCAATTAGAATAAAAATTTTCAGCAAATAATGGCGGGTTGAATTTTTTTTATCACAAAAATAAGTTAAAAATATAAATTTCATGATTTTTTGAAATATTCCCAAGCCATTTCAGACAAATGTGTGGCTGAATAGATATCATGATTGTCTGCTTGGATGCATGAGAAAAAACAGCTATTTTGTAGTAGACTTCACAATATTTGTTCGTCTAGTTGTTATCATGATTCATTACAAATCCTGACGTTTAATGTAATAAATTTCTCCCAAAAGTCATTGTGTCTATGTTCGTGGTTCTGATGTTATTTAGTCGCTTAGATTTTTTATATAAATTTCTTCATTAAAGCAATTTTTAATTTTTCCTTCAACTTCATCATCTCCAGCCAACTTATAATTGAGCATGACACAAAAAAGGTTTCAATGAACAGCAACGCAAAAAATCATTGAAAGATAAAAAAAGAAATTACTTTTTGAGGTTTTTTCACATGAGATTTAAATAATTTGATTAAAAACATTGAAAACATCCTGAACGTCCTTCCGACTTTATGGTCTCGTGCGCATCCGGCTATTTTGCTGTTTTGATAATTAATGACAGGATGTATCCGTTATTAATAAAATAAATTCGGAGATTGTAATTGATGTAAATAAAAACGGAAATTTTGTTGCAATAGTTTTGACTTGGATGGAACTTAGCTTTGAGATAATCGACTATTTTTGAACAATTATATGTTGATGAAGGTACAAATGCCTGAAATTAGGTTTAACCTTCATTATTTTCTTACAATCTATCATAAACTAACTTCTTCTTCCATCAAATCTTCCATATTACCCTCATTATATCAAAAACTACGCTAATCTCACTCATAAACTTCCTATGATTGAATACAAAAGCTTCACAATATGTTCTCATGTTCAACATACACGCAGAACTATTATCATGATGAACATAATCATCATTTTATCATTAGCATCTGTAACGCCTCTTTCTTGTTGTTCCACAATCACGAATCTAAATTAAATTAACCTAGTTCCTCAAAACACAAAAATAAATTTGTTCTTTCATTGCTGTTGATTTCACGCTCCTCCCAAGGCTTGGACACTGAATGAAACCAATTCTTGGTGCTTACTTGATGAGGTTTTGCCATTTCTGTGATAATGATGTAATTTTTCGACTTTCCACGTCGAAAAGTTCTGAATTTGAATCATGATAAACTGAGGTGTAGAGGTCCATAGTGAAGATTGAAATTAGGAATAAAGGATGAAGAATCTGATCACAAGTGAAGGTTGACAAATGAAATGAATTAGTTCATTGGATAAATATAAAGTCTCATGATAAGTTTAAATAGACAAATTTCTAATGAAAAGATAATCGCGTAGCTGAGTGTGGGCATGATAAATATGGTAACATGAGAATAATTAATGCCTAACTGTCTCCACGTGTTTGCGTTTGTTCGCCATTAAATTGAACAAGTTTGTTGTTTTGCTTGATAAAGTCTTCTTCATAGACTTATTTTTTGATGATTGAAAAGATAATTTGAAAGTTTGTTTCTGCTCAAGTTTTGATGAGTTTATTGTAATTTTTGATGAATAAGAGAATTTCAATTCAAAATTCTTCATTTCCTTTACTGCTCCTGCCTTTAAAGACAAACATTTAACTTCACGTCTCAACTTCTTTTCATTAACTTAATTCCTTTCAGAAACTTTTTTCGAAAATTTTTGATTTTCTTTTGCGAACATCTCACTTCATTTTTGAACTTTCTTTCCTCCCCGATTTTCACACCTCACATACCCGAAAAAAATTTCATTTCAAACTTTTCATCCCCAAATGAGGAAGAAAAACTTCAAAAGAAAAATGCCTTCAAAAAAATTTCTTTTTCTCTCTTTAATTTACGTTTCTGTTCCACTAGCAGGCAACAACAAATTAAAAACTTTCGACACTGATAAGGAGGGAATACAGGCATCACGTTCATTCATTTTCGTTAAGAAAAAAATTGTTGGAAAGTTTTATTTTCCTCGCATTTTTCATCATTCATGAAAAATTATGTTAGCGATTCTTATAAGAAAGATGTATGCTCATAATTGTGGCACAGTTATTTATCAGAAGATTGAGATTAAACGACTGTTCTTGATCTTCTTGTTTGGTATTTGGATAATTTTGGTGTTGCCAATACTTCGAGGCTTGGCACGAAGTTATAGGTATCAAACCAAAAAAATCTGACAATTTGTAGCATGATTGAGTTGACAAAAACATCCATTAGTCAATTTTAAGTCATTGTCATTTGATATAATCATTATAAATTCTTTTGTTCATTATTAATTAACAATATTTTTAAAAATAATCAATGGAACAGTAACAAATATGAATATTGGTATGAGATGAACATTTCATGTTAAAAATGACTGTAATTAATAGATTAAATACATTATTTTTGCTACAATTTCAAATCTTTACAATATTTTGCATTAGTAAATCTAGATTTGTATTAAATTATTCAAGAATCTATGTATAGATCCTGCTATAGAATCTTTAAATAGTCATGCAAATCTAACTTCAAAATCTAAATTAGACTAAAATTTAATAAGTTTACGTACCTTTACATCCTCAAAATCCATCTATTTTCATTTCAATTTATTTAAACAAATTTGAGATTAAAAGAAATCTCTCGAAATTATCATAGGATCAATTTTAATCTCAATTTTACTAGAGTACATCTTAGGACGTAGGGTAGGGTAGATCAAGTGTCTAGGCCCAGAATCAACAGACAGGAATCAATTTTTCATGGTATTAGCATAAATCTGTAGATTCTGGGATTAGAGATATGAGAATAAATTTTGGTAGAATAAAGTTTGGTTGACTTTAATCTACGAGATTCAACTCCCAAACGCATGTGAACTTTAATCTACCTAAAGCTCCAAACTCATTGATGATGATGGTTATTTTTATTTATTTTTTCATTTTCTCATCCACATTTTTTGATGTCATAGTTTATGTATAAATGTATCAATATATAGCAATTTGTAATCATAATATTCTTCATTTCTGTTCATTCACTCATTCCCTATGGCTACAATTTCTTTTTTTTTTATTTCTCTATTTATATATATATCTCATTTTTCGATTTTTATGCTATGCACTTTTTTATATTACATGAATTGGAAATAATAAATACAACAAAAAACATAACTATAAAGAATTGGATATTTTTTTTTGTCTTACTATTCAATACACACACACACATACATACAATTTATATTCTCTCTTCATCCATCAATGATGATTATGAAACAGGAATAAAAAAATAAAGAACGAAACCACATCTAACGACTGCACATAAGTTTGAGTTTGAAGTAAATTTTTTGAATTCTTTTATTGATCTTCCTCTTCCCTGAAGAGATATGTACTCCAATAAACTAAATTGAATAGCGCAAAGACTAGAGGAAATGTTATTCGTGATATTACGTCGATTCTCTTTGATCTTGAGCATTGTCTGATGTTAATTGTTGTTGATTGCAAATTGCAAATGAAATGAAATAAAGGAGAAAAAAAAATATTGTTTGATTATTCATTAAGCATTTCAAGTCAATGGCCATTAAAAATTCATTCTCTTTGAGTTAAAAGTTTTCTTTGATATTCGAATTCTCTCTCATTTATTAATTGGAATTTTCATAATGATAGAATATCCTGTAATTAAAGAATGATGCTGCGTTTGAAGATTTCGCAGTGATTGTTGTGTAATTATGTAGTTATAATTGTTATTCATGTACTTAATGTTACTATCTGAAATTTCAAAGGGAGTGGATAGTGATCTTGAACCTTTTCAAGCTTCAACCCTCAAAAAATTCTAAAGAATTCGAGGACAGTACTACTCGATGAGCTTACAAACATTTCTACATAAAACATAGTTCTCCAAAATAAGCTTGAAGCTTTCAGCAAATATTTATGGAAAAATAAAAAATCATTGAAATTTCGAGCAAAAAATTTATTTCATCATTCATTGCTATTTTATTCAAGTGCAATATCCATAATTGCAATATTTGTGCACACAAATTGTGTATGCCATCCATCTGTTTAAGAGTTTATTTCATTTATCATATTTTTTGGTGCCATGATAGAAATATTCATAAAATGGAAATATTCATAAATTTGAATATTATTTTGTAAACTGCTTATGGAACAGGACGGGATTTGCCTGGACTCAGCTTTACTAAAACATTAAGGTTCAATCAAATATGTTGGCAGAAAATTGAAAAATTCGGTTTGCGATATTTTATCAAAAAATAGACTAAGTTTTATATATTTAATTAATATCTTTGAAAATGTGCTATTTTATGCTGCATACCTTCAAAAAATTCTTCATCATCCAAAAAACCAGGTCAATGCAAATAAATATTTGTTCACAAAATTCCATTTTCATCAAAATCAATTTCAATAAAAATGAATATAATGCAATCCAATTCAACAGATTTTATTTCGCTCCATGTTGATTCCAATCAGAAAAAAAAATTTAAATGATGAGCAGATATTTATTTACAAAATGGATGATGAGAAAAAATATTTCTGCTTTTCGTTGTTTGGGAAATATGCAAGTAGAAAAGATTATTTGAGTAGCTGAACGTTTTTGACTAAAAGTTGAATTTCGAACTAAAATATAAAATATTTTAAATACACCCAAATGGTATCGTCGATTCCAAGCTTCCAATATCAAGTGGATTAATAAATCACTGCTGTTAATCTAATCGACATGACATATTAAATCAGTCAGTCAATAATTCGAGCAATCAGCAGTCAATAGCTCAATCAGTCAATTAAGCAACATTGAATCGAGTGGAAATCGGATGATATCATGGAATAAATAAATTAAATGTAAAACGGAAAATATCATTGTAAATTTCATTTTCTTTCCACTTAACTGTTTGGTTGAGCGTTGAAATGTTGAATTGGAATTATTTTCCATATTTTTTGGATTTTGGATATTCTATTTTTATTTATTAAAATATTCAACTAATTTCAAGAAAAACAATTTGATGGAATTTATTGAAGGAATTTTTATGGCTGTAAAAATAAATTATATGATTTTTTTTGACAAGCTATTCACCCTATACTTAGCCTTTACTTAGTATTGAACATGATTAGTGAACAATAGATTTAAAAAACATTTTTCGATTTCTGCCTTTTCTATTGGAAACCCATTTTAATCCTTAAATAAAGTATTGGTCCTTAAAAAACCGACACTCATCATGAACAATTTAGCTATTAATTTGAATTTAATGTGTATATCCTTAGGCAACATCATGTTTTAAAAATAGATTAATGGCCAGTTTTTATTTCCTTCCAAGAAGTGAAAATGTCTTCAGATTTCAATGTCAAATCAATTTAAAGAAATTATATAGCTTTGCTGACTCAGAGGGTTAAGAAATCATTTGAAGGACATTCTCAATAACCTGAAAATACATTAAGTCTATCATACAAGAACATGATTGCCACTGTGTAGTATGAAGACTTAAAGGAAGAGATGATAGGAAATTTTACGATACAAATATTTCATCTTTCTGCCTTAAATTCACATCATTGATTTTATGTAAATTTGCAGTCACTTTTCGTACTTCAAAGCCTTTTAAAGTTTATAACTCATACCATCCCTAATTGAAATAACAAATGGAAAATATCAAAAAGCTCTTAGAAGGAAAATCAATCTTGACATAAATTGAATCGTAAAAAACATGAAGCTTCAAGATAATGGAGATATTATTCTTCTTATTCTTCCCATTCCTGATAAATTCATTTTAAATTTGAAGATGAATTTTTTTTTTGCATAAATCAGCATCATGTATGGGAAAATGGGGGAAAATTTATGAAGAAGCCTGCATCAATTTTCCAGTATTTGCCATTTGTGTATTTTGGGATTTTCGAGTGTGCTTGGATTTAATGTAAAATTTATATGTGTGATATATATGTTGCCTGTAAAAATATATCATTACATAATCACACATGAGGAATTTTTGGTATGAGAATGAAAAGGAAAATGAAAAACTTTTATTTTATTATATTTCCTCTCGACAATATTTCAACGTTCGGAAAATGTGTACTTTTTTTGCTTTGCCATTTTTTCATCGAAAGAGTTTTTTTAACAACAAGTAAGAATAGCCTCTTTGTGACTTAAAGCGCATTTTTTATTTTAAGTTCTAAATGCAATTACTATTGATCAAGAGGCAGCAAGAAGTTGGTCAAATGTTATAAACAGTTGAACTATTTCAAAATCACTTCCTTTTCTTCAGTATATTAAAATAATTTTTTTTAATAGATCAGGCATCTCTCAGTCGCTTTAGGCAAACTGCACTCATCATTTCAATAATTACAAGTGCTACAAAACTGAAAGTACAGCTTTTTGGTTTTAATAATTTATGGACATTGGAGAGGAGAGAATCATTACACATAATTCATCCCGTGCTCATTTATGCAGCTTTTGATACGTAAATTTTTTTAATTAGCATCATAATTGCAGGAGGATAAAAATGAAATTCGTAGTCAAAACGAGAGAGAATTTTTAATGCGAAATAATTAACTTTTCAATGTAACTTTATGGTGGTTTGGCTATAAAATTTACCTTGTCGGGAGTCGTGACAGCCATGTTTTACAACAACTTTGACGCTTTGGTGGTTGCATGTGAACCTCACATTGCCTCAGCTTTTCGAGTGCTAAGGGATCACCTGGATGTCTCACGAGTGGCTTCTATTGAAATATAAATGAATGAATTTATCATTTGTAATCAGAAATTATACAAAAAATTTCACTGTTTTGTGGGAGAAAAGAGAAAAAAAAAATCAAAAAATCCAAAAACATATTTTTACCATTGCAAATGTTGCATTGCTATCAGTATCAAGAAGGTCTGATGCGGCGTCTAAGCTCACCTGTTCTAGCTCACGTCGTTTCTTCTTCATGGTCTCGCGGTGAATGTCCGCTGCTCGATCTGCTTGAAATGTTGTAGGAATGCTATTAGATTTATTTATAAAACGATTTAAAATCAGACACTCATTTGCCGGATCACAGTGATAGCTTGAGATTGCAGTGGTGCTAAAAAGTTTTACTCATTGAAACATTTTTTTATGTCCGTTGAGACGCTTGATAATTCAGCTTTAACATAAATTATTATTAAAATATTATTATCATTCATCCGCACACCATTAATTGTATTATCAAATAATTCCATTTAATATAATTAAACCGGCAAAATGTGGATAAACTTTCTTTCCTGAAAATGTTCGACAGCAAACCAAAGTTTGTGTGTGTGTCACACAATTAATTAGTTTTTGCTTAATGGAACATCAAATCACAATTTTGTGTTATCTCATTTTATGCTTCCTAATGACATTGTTGTGTATTAAAAATTTTATGTTTATGACTCTTTGTTCTGTGAATGTATATTTTCGGTTAACCAGCAAAATAAGCAGATATTATTCGAATGTTAAGGTAGAAGTCATAAAAAATAATTTTCGTTTTGTTGCTCAGCAAAAACTTTTCATGAATATGAGTTGAAAAGTTTCATTTTAAGGAACTCTGGGTCATAATCTATTTTTGTATATCCTGTTTTTATGTTTAATAAAAAAAAGAATCTTATGCCAACTGCTGGGCAAGTATGAATTTTTATTATTGTCGGAGGTGGTTTTAATCCAGTTTTCATTTCAAATTAGTTAAGAGATTTGCTTAGGTTTGCTTTTAATTGTTCATGCTTTTGGATTATCCTAAATTTTTCAGCTATACAAAATTTATTAAACATGAGGTTGTTCGGATGTTACTTCTCATCGTACCTGTGAGTTTGACTTTCTTTAACATTCCTTGATACCCGAATAACCTCCAAAGGCTTTGCATAATTTTCAAATCCTATTTTCCACATGAATTTTCACAAAAAAGTAATCAAACTAATCAGCGAGAATTAATCAAAAGGTAATCAAGAATTCCCCAAACCTTTATTCAGTAACTTTAAAAATAAATTTCTTCCTTATAATCCATAATCATAATCATCAAAAAGGTCTACCTTTACGAAACAGTTTGTAAATAAAATGCAAATAAGAGCGAGGAAAAGTGAAAATCACGATCAAATTAATTAACACAAAGGAAATAAAGGAACGAAAATTGAGGAAAATCATTTGTCCAAATAAAAAAATTCGTTTTATTTATCATGACGAGAAGTGAATTTAGTCATCATCATCATTACTAAAAAGAATCGTGATCCTCATTATAGTGAAAATGGGAAATTCGAGGAAGTACTGAAATGTGAACTACTAGTAAACGCATTTTTATTGCTTATAATACCTAGTAGATGAAGGGAATCTTAGACTATGTTTTTAAATATCAAGTGATTGACTCGTTTCTTTGGATGAAGCATATTTTTATGACACACTGCCTGGAAAAGAAGACAATAATCTCAATTTCAAGCTCCGACAATATCCAAACAACCCTCTATCCAAAAAAAAATCAGCTCAAGAGGAAATAAAAAGAAAGAAAGGTGTACAAAAGGAGGAAATGAAGAAAAAAAAATTCATCCACAAAAATATTATGTTCATTTAGTTAATTAATTTAATTCTGTGCTATACTATATTCACAAACACATACACAACAACACCATTGGTTGTTCTTGGATGATTATGATGAGGACAAAATTGCTAAAGCTTGATCATAAAAATGAAAGTGGGTAAGTAAGTAAATAAGTAGGTATTATGAAAAAATACAAAATAGGGAAAAAAAGGCAAAAAGAATCGTAAAAGCATGAAATGTTTTATGGCCGTCGAATGGCGCATTGGAGAGTGAGAAGAAAAATCTGAGTAGGGAGAAAGGAAACAAAAGAAAAATGACTAAAGTAGCAATCAGTTATAGTACTTTTAATTAAAATTTATCATCCCCGTCGTCATCGCTTTTTTTCTCATTCTCTTGCGAGATTTTTATAACCGTAAAATGTTTTCTTTACGGATCACTTCTTGGTAGAATCGAATTGGAGAATAAGTAAGCAAGCAAGCGAAAGAAAGAAATAAAATATATTGGATATATTTATTTTTTTGTTGCCGCAGCAGTAAAATATTGACAATCAAATTGAAGCAAGAAGAAATTAGACCGCGAATGGAGATGGTTGACTACTGTGTGCAATAGTCCAACTAATTCCTTTCCTAGAAATTAAAATGCACTCATGCTCTTACCCTTCAATCTATCGATTTTATTGCCATATATTTTAAAATCCACAATCAAATCCAAGATTAAACACTCATCCTGTTAAACCAAACAAATTCAATTAAAATCGAACAGTTTATCTAAAAGCATTGAATCCCACAAAAGCCACAAGAAAACTGATTGCATGGAAGTTGAAATTTTGTGACGTCATCTTATTTTCCCTCTCATTTAATCTATCTCCGTACGAGCATACATGATAGATTTATGCTAGCACAAAAACCAAAATGAAAATGAAAAGAGAAACTATCAATTTCTCAATAGTTGCTGAAGACAATTTTTTTACGACTTTACATCTTATGGCTTTTGCGTTATGTTATCTCGCGATTGATAATAAAAAGCTGTAACCGACAAGCTATAAACTATATCTGCGTGTGTATGTTAAGAGAAAAAGATGGAGATGGAGAAATAGATTATTCACTGTGATTTTTATGTCTGTGCTGAATATGTGATATGAAGATAATGGTGAAGAAAAGTAATGGAAAGGATGTTAATTGATTTTGTCAAACAAACCTGAGCGTGACGCATAGTTGACAAGCGCAAACTCGAGTAGCGCTCCGAAAACAAACGTTAGACACACGCCAGTCCAAACATCAATAGCCTTTGTGTATGAGACTGGCGGCAATGATGCATTGATACCTGACGTCTGGGTTGCCATTGTTAGAAGCGTCGTGACACCTAATGAAACACGCGCTGGTACAGCACCTTGATCGAGCCAAAATGACACCCATGATACAATTACCAACATACAGCATGGCGTATAGATTTGAATCAAATAGTATGAGAACTCTCGTTTGAATAGCAAATCCACTTTCAGGCAACTGTATTCACCTGATGAGATAAAAAAAAATAGAAAGGAAGAAAAGTTTTTGTGATTTAGGTCGTTCTCTTATTTCATTTCCACCTCCACATCTTCTTCCTTTGTTTCTTTTCTTTTTCAATTTCTTATCAATTCAATATATGCTTTTGGCATTGATCATAGTCAGAGGATGTGAATGTTGTTAGTGATTTTCCCTGTCCTATGTATATAAATGCATATCTATCCGTTTTCAGAGCAGTTGAAAGTTTCTGCTCTTCTTAGAAGTGAGGTATCTCTTATGATTGGAGGGTACAAGACGCATTTTGAACTAAAAAGCTATTGTTTTTTAGATGCATCTCCTTCATGATACTAAAACAACATTATCTGACCAGTTTCTAATCCACTCAATTATTAAATCAGTCTACTAGTCACAAGCTTAGACTAAGAACTCAATCCCATTTACAACAAAAGAGAATAGAGAAGATAAAAAGTAGGATATAGACATGACATTGAAAGAGACTTGACGAGGGTCTAATTGTGATAAGAGAGTGGGGAAAGAAATTTGATTCTAATGCGTAACTCAATGTACTTATCGTATACACAGGATAGCGAGCCATGATCTTGGATACTTTAAAATGCGTTTTTGTTATCGTGAATTTATATGTTTCTAAGGATATGGGGATGGGAGATTAGTGATTGATGTCGACTGTTTTTGGAACTTTCGTGCTGATATTGAATATGAATTCTTGGAAGATCTAAAAAATGGAAGTTGATTGAAATGTGTGGAGGGGAGGGGTAACATGCTCTACTTAGGATATTAATTTTCTAAAGAGAATCTTGATATATTTTAATCCATAGAACTTATTTACAATAATTCCTTCATCTGTCATCTTTTTTTTTTCAACCAGATGATGCATACCCATTGAAGCAGCAGCAGTCATAATTCCTCCAAATTACTCAATTAATCATCATAATCTCACCTGTGTTTGTTTTACTGTTACAATAATCAGTTAAAAATTTCTCTAGTGTAAATCGTGGTAGATGAAGATTCTTAACAACTTGAACGGGATCACCTTCCTTCCAAAGAAAGACTAAATCTGCTGTCGTCCAACCATCTTGATAAATGAATGCATGATAAATAAACACCAATCATTAATACCATTCATCCAGCTACAATGTTGCATGTTATACTCACAACTTGCCATTCGTAACGAACAAATTTGTCTATCTAGTGGATACAATTTAAGATTCATTGGGCACGCGAGCGTTAGTGAAATTCTTATACTGTACAGCACTGAACCGTATGGAAATATACGAATATATACATTTGGCATGATGATATTGTGAAAATGACCTTCCTTCTCATTCGAGAAAAATAAATCAGGCATCCATACACGATTTGCTTCTGTCAATGTGAGATATTTTAGTCGACCTAAGGGAAGAGATAATAAAACATAATCAGTATATGTGTATAGAGGTGATGATTTATAGAGAAAGGAAATATTTGTGTGATTTTGTGGAAATTGAATGGGAAGATGAGCCAAGGGAATGGCATTTGCAAGTGTAGTCGATATGATAACTATAACTTAGTTCTACAGTTTAAAAAAGGTCCATTTTTTTAAGTTCCAAGGACATATGGCTCTTAAAACCCTCAAATTAGCTACCAATGATCAATAGTTTTCAAGTAGCATAATTAAGGTACTGAAGGACATCGCCAAGTACTTATAAGTTCACTCTTTTTCATGTCCAGAAGCTTATATAGATATTATTGCATTAATTTCAAACGCCTCGCATTCATTGTAACATTATTATTTTCAGCGATATATCGACCATGAGCTTCAACCACATTTCATGAAAACTGTAAACTCTACATGCTGTTTTGTTTTCATGGCTCAGAAAGCATAAAATTTTTAAATTCGGTTTAATGCAGAAATAAAGCTTTTGAATGTTGATATTTTTAACAGAAGTGCACTCAACTTTAACCGCACGGTGCTGAATGAAAAGTTTTAATTTCCTTTTTCGTAGATGATGAAAAAATATGTGGAAGAGAAATGAAATTGAAGTATTGTGGAAACAATGTGAATAGTTTTGATAACTAAAAGCATTTCCATCAGCATGGTATTTTTTAATAGAAATAAAGCAACATTCTACTCAGCACTGCTTGATCTTTACTTTATATTTTTGTAAAATAAACTTTTTGAGAACAATTTACAGATGAAAGAACTTTATTTGCCTTTTAAAATTTATTTGATGGATTTACTTATTTTGTTAATTGCTTTAGCAATGCACATCATGTTGAGATTTCAATTTAATTAACTAAATGCATTTGATATGAAGTATAAGTGAGAGCAATTGGGTTTAAGATGAAAATTCTTTTCTATTTTCAAACCATTGAGATCATGCTTAATTCCTCATTAATTTCATTCCAAATAGAACTAATAACACCTTAGAGATTTAAAAACCTTTAATCCTCTGTAGTTGCTCAACGTCTAATAACATGAGGAGCTTAATGTTTTGTCAATAAATGTTTCAAGAAGCCAAACCAAAATCTCATTTTATGTCTAAAGTAAATGCTTTTGCTTCTGTTTCTCATCCGCAAATTTGTTTTGTTAATTCCCATCCTGTACCAGATATACATGGTTCTTCAAAATGAATTATCAAAATGCTAAAAATAAATAAAAATGAGCTTTGAAGCCACAGAAATAACCTTAATTTTGAAACTTTTTTTCCTGTATAAATTCAACTCTTTTGCAAATATTTATTTTTAATGTCATAACCATGGCTTGTGCTGACTTTACAATATTTCAACTAAACTTTCTGCTTTCGCTTACATGTTTTCACTATTCAAGTTGTTATGCATGTAAAACTGAGTTGGTTATGATGGCTTCATGGCAAAATTTAATGCGCTTTTTTGATGATAATTTTGCTAATATCAGTGATTTTAAAGTTTTAAGGACATGAATATGAAGGTCGACTCCTTCTTTTTAAAATTCAAGTTTCTAGATCTTAGCTAGCTTCCTTTGTATACTAAATCTGCAGTCTGCAGATGAACTTTTTCAAAGATTTCTTTACAAAAGTTAAGCAAGGAAATCATCAAGAACTCAGTCAGACAAACGAAGCTTATTTGATTCCACGTCACCATTCATTTAAAAACTTTATTCTGCACAAATCAGCATTCAGAATATGAATATGGATTGTATTCTTTGCCCTTCAAAACTTTACTTTTCTGCGGGTTTCTGTTTCCATCCACAACTCTATTCATATTTTTTTTCCAGCCATTAGTTTCAACATGAAGCACACCATAATTTTGCATAAATTTATGCATTACATCATCGTCATACATGTACTGAGAATAGTAAAAAATATGAAATATGGAGAATAACGATGATGTGAAGTTCCTTGTGAAAAATTTTCCACCAATTTCGTACTTCCTTTTTCCTCTCATGCAACGATGTACTTTTGATATGTCAAGAATTTTGAATGAAGCATAAAATGCTGCTGTAAAATTTATGAAGCAATTGTTCTCCATCCGTTCTCTCCCTATCATCTCAAGCTGTCTAAAGATGAGAATCAGTTCGAGTAGTGAATGATCGAAGAAAAAAAAAAGTCTTTTTGATTCACAAGCAGTTAGACTTTAAAGAGAGAAATTGTCAAAGGATGATTATATCAAGGTATATTGTAGATGAAGATGCCATATGGACTTGCTTTATTGCTCTTTTTAAGTCTTTTTACTAAGTTACATATGTGAAAGCTTTCATGTACTTAATGTTCTTTAATCAATTGCTTTTTTAATAAAATGTTAAAGGAAGAAATGAGTTTGAAAGATTCTTAAAGTAGTTTTCTATGTCTTTGATGTTTTAGATTTTAAAAGTTATGCATAAATGCTCGACTTAGTAATAGTTCTTAATGTTCAAAAAAATAGTGGCAGCAGACAACAGTCTCTAATATGAATCTCATCAGCAAAAAGGTCCAAACTACAAATGCTGTTTTCCAGCATCATCCACGATTATAATATTATTTTCTCATAATGAATCAAGTAGCACAACTTTACCACTAAAGAAAATATAAAGAAGAATTTCTTTTGTACTTTATTCCTCATCATCGCAATAGAGAAAAACTTTTCTTACGTAACTTTTTCCTGTTTCTTTTTCACCGATTTCGCTACTTCTCTTATGAGTTCTTTATTTTTGAGTGCACTTTTTTGCTTGCTTTTTTTCGCTCCTCTTATATGAGCAAAAATGTAAATGAAGAGAGAAATAAATGAGGTTGAGTATCAATCTACATGTGTAAAAGTTTTTTTACTACTTTCGTATGCATCTTTGTGCTTCACTGATGTTGTATTTTTTTGTTTTCATTTATTCACGGTTTTTAGAATGTTTAGGGGTTCTGGATGCGTAATCGCTGATCTCATGAATTACAAGGATACATGGGCTAGTAGACTGATCTTAGGAATCTTGAGGATACATGGGCTTGTAGATATTATCTTATTAAGCCAAAGAAATTTTTGTCTGACAATATTCAGATGGTAAGAAGCAGGAAAAAGAATGGTCTTAATAGACGTCATTTATGAACATTTAAAGAAACAGATTAATTTTGATTCTACATCGGATAACTTTCGATCATCTTCAAATGCACCAAGAACCCCCAATCTAGAATTTTTCTCATAAAGTCACAAGACTGATAGTAACTACGCTATCATATTACAGATGAATAAATTGTGAAAAATCCACTATTTGTTGAAAGTAGCATGAAAGAAAAAGAAGGAGGAATATTTTTTATCGCGACTTCATTTCAATTTCACTTCTTTTCACAGCTTTATCCTTTATATTTTATTATTTTTATGCTTTGTGCTTTCAAGTCGTTGAACAATGTAGATGAGTATATATATATATGTGTGTGCGATACACAATGCCAGAAGGGAGAATAAGGAATGGGTAGAAAGGATAAAGTGGAGGATTATTGTGACATGAAAACAAAATCAGAGTAAATAGAAGTTTTTGTGTGTATGTGTGTGTGTTAGAACTCACCTCCAATATCATCGAACTTAAGTCGTTCATCCAGCCATTGCTCTCGAAATGTTAGCTGTACGCTATATTCCTATTTATGGATGACAAACATTTGATTGTGTACACAGATTTCAAGTTGATGATAATTTATGTCGACATTGGCAATGTCGGGTGACGTTGATGGTTGTCATTTATCGGTGGATGGATGGATAAGAAGAAGAAAAGAAAATCGATTAATAAATTTTGTTTTTAAATAATTTCAGGTTTACAAAACATAGCGCAGAAATGAAGGAGAAAAATTGGTACTCAGTGGATTTAACATCAATAATTGTCACATTGTTTTATTTATGGAACAGCTCCATTATCTCGATAGCCAATTTTCCATTAATTAATTTACTAATAGATTATTTTTAGATCATAAAAAGGTTGCGTTTCATTACTCATAAATTGATGGGTTAATTAGCAGTGGATTTTATGTTTCAGCTTTATAAATAAATCAACTAATTGTAAAACTTTTTTCTGCTGTTAAGGACGAGAGCGTAGGTTTATGAACTGATTTATAATCTCATTTATTATTTTATTAAATAATATGTAGCTATGGAGCTTATAACTTATGATTTTTGCATCTTGTGGTTTTATTCGTGGTATTAAATATTATTCGAATAAACTAAATTTAGACATATCCTTAGCAAAAGGAGGGTTGCTCTTACTCTTACTCTTGACTTCGCATCTAATGCCTCATAAGTGAACTACATTCATGAATTAGCAATAAAATAATTTATACTACAAGATCTGATGGCAATAAACATGGAAAGCAAGTTTCAAAGCTATAAAAGCTTTTATGTAGACAGTAGTAAAAAATATTTACTGTTTGTCTGCGAAACCTTACAAGAAATCTATAAAAATTTAATTACAAATCGAATTTCCAGCTCTGCTTGTTATTCGAGATTTCTGAAGATTAGTCTTTCCAAGATGCGTAGGATTTATGCTGCTGAATGTAGGATTACTGCTGTCATGGAGCTTAATAATTCGTCAGAAAATGTTGATAAGTTTTCATCTGCATTAAAGGAGATTTTTCTTGTTCTGAAATTGATGAAATCCTATTTTAAGAATTTTTGATACAAAATCTCGTGACTTGAACTTGAAGTTGATTCCTATTGAATCATAAATAAGCTGTAAGAACAGCAAATTCAATGAATTGTTAATGATTAAAACTTGAATCTTTAAAATCCAGCAAGTATTGAGTAATTATCAATTTTAGTTGAACCCATGACAAAGTTATAAAAATCTTTATAAAACATTTAAGGAGTGATTCCACTGCCTAGCATAAATTTTTTATTATTATTGATGAAATTTCCAGCTGAGATGATTTCCGTAAAACTTTTCACTTTCAATTTTGTTCCTTCATTTTCATTCAAAAAATAAACAAGAAAAAAAAGTTATAAAACCAGAAAAAGGAATAACAAAAAAATTTGCTATCTATAAACTTTATATTTTTCTAAGAAACTTGAAAAATAATAAAAAAAGAAAAAAAATATTTAAGGATATAAAAGAGTAGATATGACTAGATACAGGAAGTAAGATAATGAATGGAGATGAAAAATGCTGAGGAATGAGAAGAATAACAAAACTGATAAAATTTCTTCTAAGGCTTTTTTCGAGTTTTTTTTAATTTTTTTTTTTGCGGAAATGACTACAATTTTTGTTTTTTATCGGGGATTCTCAAGGGTCGTTCACTTATGTCTATCAATGTTATAAAGTATGAAGGCTATATCACAATCCATTAATTTTTCAATGGACGTCAATTTTGTGAATGTCTTGAAATTCTATATGATAAAAGGATGTAAAAAAATTTGGAAATATTGAGAATATTTCAATAATAAGATTAAGTTTTTGGGATAAAGAATATAATTTTAATTTTATAAATTAATCAAGATGTCAATAGTTCATAACCTCAACATGATTTATGAATTTTCGATTGACAATCCTCACTTAAAATCCATAAAAATAAAGGTTCTCATCCCCAGAATCAGAAAGCCTTATCATGGCAGAATGAAAAATTATCCATCAAAGTATAACTTTTCATTCTGCCTAGTAAAACATTTCTAAGCTGATATTTTGCTAAGTTTTCAATTCTTTTGTTTGCTCATTGAATTTCTGTATTTATTCAACAATTTTATATATTTTTTTCAGACTAAGGATTTATAAAACGAAACTTAAGAATAAGTCTATAAAATAAATATTTCTCAATCAGTTCTAAGAATACACAAATTGTGAATATATTGAGTAGAGAATTTCCAAAAATAGACCAGCATGTGTCAGCTCAACAAAGCTATAAATGGAGAAACGAAGTTATTTCTGCTGAATGAATAGACTTCAAAAAGTTTGTTGAGTGTTGCGATGCCAATGGGTCAAGATAAATTTAGATTCTTACAAAATCATATCACGTGGAAGCAACTCAATCTACCATAAAAGTGACAAAGAACATTAAATTGACCTTCGGTCTCAAAATATACATTAATTCTTTGGTAATAACATTTAACAACAACCTTACATGTCAATTTTGAATTTGGTTTTTTTTGTTTTTGTCAAATTATTCGAATCCCCAATAAAAAAAAGTTGTTCCTTTTTATTCCAGTCTTGAAATAAAAACAACATAAAAGTCGATCCTTTCCACTTAAATTTTGAAAAACAGTAAAAAAAGCCTTTTCCAATTGATAAGTTGTATCCCCAAAAGGATTTAAAGGATGTTGAGATACTTCAAGTGTGTATTTGCCTTAAATCTTTTATTATTCTTAAAATTTGGATTAAAAAAGATAAACAATTTTTTATCTCCATTCAATTAGCGCTCCTTAAAAATTCTTTGTGGCTGTTTTTTCTTGAGAAATCCTCCATCCTTCAGATCATATTATTGGTACTCAACTTCCCTCATAAAGTATGCACTGTGAAATTTGCATACAAAAAAACTTTATGAATATTCACAGAGGTACGAAGTAGAAGATTGGTACATCATTAGTGACTATATACAGCAAATTCTCTACAAAAAAATTTTATAGATCCAGATTTCTCAAAAAATCATCCACAAAAAATTCCACAAGAGGCTTAAACCAAATAAAAGTATCAAATTAAATTTCATAGGACATGCTTAAAATTTAGGTCAATTATAAAGGATGTGGGGGAACTAAAATTTTTCCATGAGCAGAGAAACTATATGTCCGAATTATTTTTTCTCTTTTTTAAAGTTATCGTATGCTTTCTTATACTTTTTACTAGAAATAAAAAAGAATTCAAAAATACATAAAGAACAAAAAGATAATCAATCAGTTATGGACATACACAAGTTCAGCAATAAGTTTATTGACAGCATATTGACATAAAAAGCTAAAGGCTATGTACAATTCATTGTAGAGAAAAGCATATAAAGCTACAGTCACAAGTATATTGTGCATGCAAGAGAAGAGAAATTTTTGAGCAAATATAAACAAAGCTTCAATGGAAGTTCAATAAGAACAAAATAATGCAGAAAAAAAGGAAAAATTTTGAACAATCAGTCATAATTTATCCAATATTATGTACATATGTACAAATGTTCTACGCCCTTTTCATTCAAATTTGACAAAAAGAATGAAGGCAAGCGAAGAACAATTGATATCCTTTAAGGAATTTTGTCAGAACTTTTTATCTTAAAAATAGAAAAATTGTTTGTTTTTGTTATTTTTTGAATTGTCTATTAAGGAATATATCAATATTTGTTGTCAATTCTGAAGATTTTGGGATCTGTAATTTTTATTCCTTCCCATTGTCAGCTGTAAATTTTTTTGAACATTCTTAAATGTTTTGTTAAAACTTATTTTTTTTTTGAGGTTTTTTTTTATGAAACTGCTTTGAAGAAGTGACATTGATCAAGGAAGTTGAAGTGTCAATCAAACTATATTTTGACTTAAAACACATTACGGATTGTGACATATTAATCTACACTAAGTGTAATGATTGAGAGTTTGAATAGAACCGAAATTCACACAAACAGACAAGATTTGCACTGACAGTTTCTAGAAGTGTCTGACGAAATTCACCTGAGGACGAAATCATCAATTCCAAGTTCTTTTTCAAATGAAATCATAAGAACATGCAGCAAATAGACTCCTCATATCTATATTTTCCATATAGCAAGAAGAAGAACATATCATTCAATCTAATCAATTTTCAAGAACAATCAAAAGCAATAAAAAAATGTCAGGCTTTTTTTGATAAAAAGAAATAAATTGAAAAGATAGAAAATAAGAGAAAGATAGAGAGTAATGCATGTAAGGCAACGAAGAAAAGCAAAAATGGAAGGTCTATTCAGTCTTATTTATGCTCATATTGATTTCAAATTGGAATCGAAAAATAAGAAAGGAAGAAGAAAGAAGAAAAATTGCTTTTGAATGCAAAACGTTTTGTTGATAACGAAAGAAATAAGAGAATCGTATGGCGGAATAAGTAGGTATGCTTATTGGAAGTACTTTTAAAATCAATTTGATTTTTTTCTTGCTTTTTTTATTCTTTTGATGTTTAACAAAATGACTTTTGTCAAGGTTAGTGCCGCCACTTGCACATCCGTTTGTTCTTTTCATTTTACTTTTTGCTTCTTCATTGTTTTAGTTGCTATTTACTTCTGTCTTTAGTTGAGGGTTATCACACTTTTCAATTCAACCGACAAGTGAATGACACAATTACGCAAAATGGCAAGATCCTTGAAGATGAGGGTTGGTCTTGAATTTTGCAAAAAAATCAATTGAAAATCAAACAAAACTCAAATTTTACAATTAGCATACAAAGAATTGAAAAATATTTTTAAATTAAGAATCCACAAAAAATCATAATTTAAGAACAAATTTATTTTAAAAGGCTTCTGACTTTCGAATTTCTCATTTTTTGCAGATTTTTTCTACTCCGAGCTACACTGAATAACCTAGTGACACTGACGGGCTTTCATAAATTAAGAACAAAGTCTCAGTGCTCAAAATCAAATCTACAGCTCAAAGCCTTCTGTGCAGAAATCTGACGAAACCAAAATCAGTGATATTTGAGAAATAAATCTAATATTTCATGAATTTCCCGGGTCAGTTCACCGTGTCAATGTAAATTTCATCTTTGAAGTTTTGACGAGATTCAAATTTATTCATGTGGAATGAAAATTAATGAATTCTGTTCTGGGAAATTATTTGAAGGCATTCTAAAGTAAAATTTCACAAGAATAATGCTGATTGAATACCTTTGAGAATTTTTGAAATGTATTTCAATTCTAAAGAATTTATTAAAAAGTAATTCAAGGTTCAATTTAAAAGTTTATAACTTTTGTGGATTCATTTTACTGCTCAAGAAGGATCAACTTTTCAGACAGTTTACATTTTACTGTTGGAAGTCTTTCAACTCGCATAAAAGATTGTCAAACTTCGAGCTTTAATAAATTTGCATTTCTTTTGATCTCGAACTTGTCAAATCTGATGATTTTTTTTTTTATGCAAATCAAACAACTTCTATTCTCGAGAGACTTTCCAATCCCAAAACTGATTTAATAATTGAATTTATAAAAAGTTACGATTCATAAATTCACAATTGTCAGTTAAGGTCTCATAAAAAAACTATTTTTCTAAAAATAGAACAACATCAACAGAAATCCTTAAATAAGCATTATTTGCTAAATGTTCAAAATGATAAGCAAGAATATCCTCAAAATTTGCATTCCATTTGCGATTTTTTTCTTCTTATTCGGTGATTTCTTTTCATTTCCATTTGATTCAATGCATATCTCATAAACTTTGTGTTTAGTTCTTTATTCTATTCTACTTTTTCTAGAGTATGAAAAATCAGAGCACGGATGGGTTTATGTTTAAGAATATAACCTACATTCCCCTCATTTTTCAAAAAAAAATGTGGACTTCATCCCTGACTTAAAATGAGGGTGCGAGAGGAAGAGGAAACATATAACCGAAAAATGTAGAAACGTGCTTGACAGACAAAGATGTGAGCAAATAAAGGAACTGAAAAAACTTTCGTCTTTCCATTTTGCTTAAATCTTCTCGCCTCTCAGTTCTTTTTTACACAACATTTTCTCTTCATTTTAGTTCAGTGAATAATATTTTCGAAAACTTTTTTTATATTTCATGAGTTTCTTCATTTTTTTGTCCAGTTTTTATCTGGCTGTATGTTTGTGGCCACAATGGCAAATTTCCAAAACTATACATGTGTTTCTTGTGTGCTTGTGAATCCATATCAAATATTAAACATTCCCTTAGTTCTTACTGTCGATAAAAAAGTAGTGAACTATTCCTCATTGATTGAATTGATTGTTGAATTAATAATAGAAAATTTTAAGCCCCACAGCAGCAATTTTTTTTCTTCTCTTTTATCTATTGCCAGTTCCTGCTGCTTCACATTTTTTCGGCATATATTTTATTTTTCATATATTTCATGCAAAAGTGAAATAAATTGGAAAATTAAATAAAGAGAAAAAAAAATTGTTTCTTCAACTATTAACTGCTGTTGCTGATTCTGCTGATTGCCTTCACAAAAAATATCGCAAGACGAGAAAATTTCATCATGGCGAGAGAGAAGAAAATTTTCTGATAATTCAGTTATGCATTATCAGAGTTGTTGGCTAGAGATGTTGTGAATTGAGTGCGATTGTAAGACTTGATTTAATTGAATATTTTCAAACAATGTGCTCGAGTTCTCAACAAATTCTGATTTGTGTATGAATCCTTACAAGAAAAGAATATCCATAAAAAGTGGAAATTAATTTTTTCATGTCAAATGCCAAGAATTTATGATGCCCATTAAAAAATTAATGTTCAAAATTTTATGTAGCGTATTAGAAAATATTACAAGCCTTTTTTTAATGTGCTGAAAACATTAACAACCTTTATGGCACAAAAAACTAAACAAATCCTGAATAGCTTAGGAACCTTGAAATTGTTGTGGAAACTTTTGAATGTCGTGACTAAATTTTTAACTAATTTATGGTTATGATTCACAATTTAATTGATACTAAAAGAGGTCAAAATTTCAAATGCTTACAGCTATAACACCTCTGTCTTATCCAACAACTCGTATTGCATAATTTTCAGTGAATAATAATTTTAAGATGCATGTTTAGATTTTCAATTTACAGACTTTTCTATCATCATCGAAAGAGAGATGAAGATATCGAGAGTAAGCATATAAAATAGAGTTTTCATATAAAATTAAATTAGAATATAAATAAGTAAGGAGAAGAAGAAATGTACATAGAATAAAATCGAAAAAGAAGCAAACATAAAATAAATTAATTTAAAGTGTGATAAGGTATTTTTTGTGTATATATACAATGTGATCACTCCCATCACCAGCCATCAGTGATGATAAAGAGTGTGCTTGTTGAGTATTTCAATATTATGTACAATAGATTTAAATTTATTAAATAATTTGTTTATCGACAAGATCTTCTTAGTGCTTAAACTTATGTACACACATGTAAGCATTTTATTTATCGTTCCATTTAAAAATGAGCTCATTTAAGCGTACATTCGAGATAGACGATAGACAAGCTGGTGAAAATGTTGATAAAATATTAATAGTTGCATGTCTGCATCACTTTAGTATGGTGCTGTTTATGGAAGTTTGGTAAACATAATTTTTTGTAGAGTTTTTAATAAATGACTTCCTTGTTTTGTAAGGAAGCCTTAATGGTGAATAAAAGTAAGCTTTTGAATGTGATTTTTTAGGATCTTAAGAGAAAATTTTCGAAGCTTTAAACTTATTTTAAATCTGCATTTTTTGGTGACAAGTATTTTAAATCTAAAATTTGACTAGATCTTTGATTCTTCAAAAATTATGTTAATTACAGGTTATATATTATAGGTTATATTTACATAACAACATGTAGGTTTTTAAAAAAAAAATAATAAATTGTGAATATTAATCATATTCACACAAATTTTTTAAAGGTGCAATAGGTGTCAGTGTTAAAAGAAGAAACATACCCTAGCGAGACTAACTAGCAAATTGCTAGTCTTTCTATTCTACAACTTGCAATTTACTAGTTATTATTAAAACAACTTACTGTTAATAAAATTCACTTGCTATTTACTAGCAAATTACCATGTAAAATGCTTGATCAAATCTGCTTAAGTTCGAATCTTACGAAAAATCATCAAAAAAAGAATTTTTTGCGTCATAAAAAATTTTGTTCTAAATTTGGCATTTGCCATATACTTCACAAGAGCGTTCATCAGTATTCGACTTAATTAACTTTAAATAAGTACACACTAATACTTTTACAATAATTTACACAAATAAGAAAAATCAAAAGAACACGTGGAAATCAACGGTTATATTCATTTAAATTTTTAAAAAATTGCTAGTAAATTACTAGTTAAATTGTAAGCGAATTGACTAGTCAATTAGCAAGTGAAAATGCGGGTTTTTGGCGATGATTTGAACTTGGATTTTGACTAGTAAATAGCAAATAGCAAATGGAAAGTTATTCAGTAAATTACTAGTAAATTTCTGCTAGGGATAGGAAATGATTGACATTCGGAAGTATTTAGCCGAACTTAAACTAGCCTTGTGAGTCAACAAAAACATCAAGAAGCGTAAACAAACCTCTCAAAAAATCCCTGAAGCTACTCAAAAGTTAAAACATTTCAAAAACTCTTTACCGACTGTAAATATTTAATTCTTATCCCTAAAAAATCCTCTTAAACTTCGTCATGATTACAATGTCACGAAAAGGTGACAAAAGTTTCGAAAAACTTAAACACTACCAACTTCTTTTTGGAATCTCCGCCTTAATTGTGTATCTGTATGGTTGTTAAGGTTTTAAGCAATAATTTAAGTATCGCAAGAGGCAAGATTATAAAAAATTCATGTTGATCTCCCAACACTTTATAATCCTTCATATACTGTCTCACTTCTCAATAAAGCACTGGCACGTGGGGTGGATTTACTTTGGAAATAGAGTTTATAGTCTCTCAATTACAACTTTCACAAAAGTCTTTATTGTTTACAAAAGTTTGAAGATAAATGAGCTGTTTATATACATAACGGAGTAAGTATATTATTTATATTATGAATACATACATCTACGGAGGGGATGAAAAGCTTATAAAACACAATTCGCAAGCATGAAATTCTATATCCATGTATGGATAATATATTAAGTATATATTCGAGAATATCATGATGTTTATAGTGAAAGTTTTACTCTCAAAACTTATATTACAACTTTTTCTTTACGTAAGCAGTACGTAAATATATTCCGCGAATGAAGGAAGCAAATGGAAATTAAGCAAATGAGAATGATAGAATGTGAGTTAAATGTCATTTTTACTAATTATTTCACCATATGTGGGTCTGAAAAATCTAACCTAATACAAAGTACCCTTTAGGTACCTAAAATTGAGGATGGAATGTTGTAAGATATTTTATTTAAGATGGAGGATATCCTAGGTAATTTAATTCAATAACAATTAATTGAGATGATACTTGAAAATTCCTAATTAAGATCTCAAGAATCTTAAATTAAAAAAATAGACAATACAAAAATTTTATTCAACTAATCCACTCAAATAAAGGGATGAGGGACCAAGAAAAAGGATGAGAATAATGTTTATTAAGACTTTGAAAAATGAACAACAACTTCTTACTATAGAGTTTTCTATAGTCTTAATGCTTTCTTTGTACTCACAGAATTTTGTTCCTTTCCAAATTTGAGAGAATTTATTTTAATTACAAACAATGTTTTATAAACCAATGCACCTGCGATTTCCCCAATTAATTATAAATGAATGAAAGATATTTTTCACAATAAAATGCTGGCAATGAGTGAGGAGCTACTTCTTCTTATGACGAGGAAGAGAAATGATGATAACGACTGGCATGCTATCATTTCTCTCTTTCTCTCTTTCAGATTTTCATGTTTTTTCTTCATTATATTTTAATGCAAAAAATATAAAGCTTGTCTGTAAATATTATGCGAATAATCATGACAGAATACATGAAGATAAATTAATTAATTAATAAATTTGTCAGTAAGCAATTTATCAATTGATTTATTGCAATTCCTTCTGCTTCCTTTTTTTGATTACCGAGGCGTTTGCATGATATGTTAAAAATGTGAATAATTAAGTGACATAAATTAAGAGGTAGTCAACATGAATTGAACGACGTGAATTATTGATAACTGTCTTTTTATGTGTTTTTAAAAATTATGTATATTATTAATATTACACGATGTTTATTAACTGAGTATGATATATTTCTGACAATTATTAAGGATGTATCGCTGCAAGATGTGATGTGTAAAGACTCATTTTACATGATACAATGCCGCTAGTATATGATCATACATAGTTAAATGAGTAATGTACCGGACCCAAGACTTATTAATTCGATCCTTAAACATCTTTAAATACACTCTCTCTAATGACAGTCAAGAGTCCATGACCTCCAAACTCATGTTCACTCCTCATTCACATCAAACATTGAATGAAAGGCATAAATATGATTACAAATTATTCAAACTGATAATAAATCAAAACGATATAATTACAATACATGTATAAACCAACTGCTATGCATTATGAAACAACAATATAATGATGAAGATAATAATAACGATTATCTTTGTTGTTGTTGTTGCGGATCATGATGATGACAAAAAAAAAGGATAAAGGGGCGAATGTAGGATAGGCAAAAATATTCGTTGTTTTTATCGTAAAATCAAATTATCTTTGGTTCATTATTAACAAAAATGAGTAATATGCATAAATGCCATTGCTATACGCCACATGATTGAATGCTATTGATAAAACTCTTCTGTATCTTCCGGGGGTTGTGGATAAGAAAACTTTTGCTTGCTAGAAAATTATTGCTAAAAGAATTTCCAATCAATCAAATTCCGTCAATGATAATTAATCAAGGAAAATTGATACAAATGTTATTGAACGGGTGTGTATGAATAATATTTCTGTTGTTGGGAGATTGTTTTTATAATTAAAGCATGGCTGTTATTTTTATAAGTGTTTCGTTCTGTGATAAGTTTAACTTTTAAACAAGGACTAGAGAGTTTTTCTATATGTAATTCCTTTGAACCACTTGAAATCCCACAAAATCTTCACAAAGAATATCCAATGACAATGATGTTGATTACGATGGTAATGAAAAATTATGTTTACGTAAGAGACTTCTTCTTGTTAAGTCAGAACAATTTTTCAACAGCACATTTGGAATAAGAAATTTCGTTCTTTTGAATATTTCGCTTCGATTACGTAAAATCAGAAATTTACTCACAGCACAGCATTATAAAAATAAGCAACTTTGTGTAAAAAACATTAAAAGAATGAAAGGGAATGAATTCTGCGTGACTGTCGATAAAAGCTTTCTTTTTTGTGTGAAATAAGCAACATATATTTATATGAAAAAGAAAAAGAAGCCATTACTTATTAAAAACAGCATGACAACACTTATATAATGTTGAAATTAAAATGAATAAGAACATGAACTCTTGTATTGAATGAGAGGAATGCGTAACAACCTTGAGTAAATTATTATTTCTGGTAAGGGAGTGAAGGTAGTGGTTTTGGTGTGTCTTCATACAGAATCTTATGAATTTGTAATTTTTCTAGCATTTTATGCCTTTTTTGAGCTACAAAACTCTTATGCAGCACCCTTTCCTCGTAATAATAACGAAATAAAAAATTATATATGTGAGTAATAATATTGTTGAAAAGCTACGACTTGACATTAAAGTTCTTCCTCCAAGACATGCCGCACATATTTTCCGTTATATATTTATATTTTCCTTTTTCATTTTTATTGAAAACGATAAATGAAGAGGAAAGCAATGAACATCAATGACTGTCAATGCGTTTATGTGATTGTTAATGGGCACCAATGCAAAAGTTGGGGAAGCATCAAAGAAATTCTGTTATTGAGCCGAAAAATGAAATTTTGAAAATTCAACGGTTTTTAAAAATTCAAAATTGTTTATCAACCTCGAAATGTTTAATACTCTAACCTCCAGCTGTCAAAAGTTGTAAAGAAAATTAGCAGAAATCATATTTAGCCAATTCCAATTCAAAATCTTCACAGACATTTGTAAAAAAAATATTCGTTGAAACTCCCAAAATGACACCAAAAAGCACATTTGCTGCAACATCAAACGTACAAAAAATATTTTTATGGACTTTATGTTTATTTTCACTCGACGTAAATGCAATCAGCGTTAACAATCGTTGTCATCGTTATATTTTTTCTGGTGATGTGAAAAAATTCAATATTTTTTTTTCGAGGGTTTCACAATTTTGCAGCACAGTTGGAATCCGTGAAACATTTTTACACAACTTAAAACAGCTTTTTTGAAATAAAATCGGGATTTATGGCTTGATTTTTATTAAAGCAGAGGCAAATAACAACCTGATGATTGATTGACATGAAATTGATGGTAAAATTCCAGGAATTTATGCTTGCATGCCAAATTTTGAGTTTTGCTTATGCTTTAAAAAATAAAATTCTTAAGAATCTAAGAAACTACCATTTCATTTCACTCCCTTCCAAGAACATAAAATTAATAACCTTAAAAGTAACACAAATCTACCCAATTTATATTAAATTCCAAGAAGGTCACGATTTGTAGTCTAAATAAGAACAAGATAAAAGGAAATTTAGGCAACAGTTGAATTGGCTTTGATTGCTACAAACAGTTGCCATGCTTACAAGAGACAGAAGATTAATAAAGCATAGGAGCTTGTGGAGACGGACTTTTGGAAATTATTTGATTAAGGTTGTTTTATACAAAAGTTATTTTATATTTTTGGATTCATTTTGTAAGTTGATTGGCATATGTTTGAGTGGTTTCTAAGCAGTTGTTGAAAGATCAGTATGTGAGTGGGATATTGTTGACTTTATGTTTGCTAAATGTGAAAAAGTCAATTTTATTTTGAGGCTGTAACTTTTGAGCTTTTGGTATTAATGTTTTAAATGATATTAAGTGGGAGAAAATGAAGCACTTTATGGATATTTAACTTCTTCTACCCTAAATTGAATTATCTGGAATTGTCTTTGATGTTGGATATTGGTTAGAAACTACGGATTTCTAAATATTAAGTCATCATTTAATTAGAGAGTCAATGAAAGGTCGTTGCTATAGTGAAAATATTACCCATTTTGATAATTTCTCAACAAAACATCCTTCAAAGTAATTTTGTCAAAGTCATTGAATCTCTGTGAATTTCTGCTATGCTTTAATAAACAGCACAAATTGCGTATTCTATCCGACTTCTTGGAATCACTTTGTGAATGAAGAATGAAGATTGAGAGTTAAGTAACATCATACAGAGACGCACTGAGAATTTTTAAGGTGGTGCTTTATCACTCAAAGCTTTAAATGCTGCAAGCCTGAGAGAAAATAAAAAAAATTGTTCTGCGAAACTCAAGAAAAAAAAAATGGAAAGTTATGAAGCAGTGAATATAAATTCAATTTAATTTTGTCAGCAAATTTACCCTCAAAAACTTCTTACATAATAATTTCCAGTGAATTTCTTCATAAACAACAAAAGTCTCACAAACAATCAAGAAAATGCTCGAAAAAGTAAAGAAGAATAAAAAGAAGTAAGCAAAATTTTCACGTTGACATGTACGTCTCATATTTTTATTTTTCTTTATGGCATTACAAATAACACACAAAAAAAATGATATGAAAGGGAATGAAAAAGAAGGTACCCCATGACGACTTCCAAGAAAGCAAATAATATAATACACGGTACACACATACGTCTTTTATACATTTATATGCGACTATGGGTGAAATAAAAAAATGTGTGAATAAGTGGAGGAGGAAAAAATCAATTTAAAGAATCGTTATTGTGATCTCAACACTTATTTTTATGCTTTTCGTTTTGTGTACGGAATTCTCTAAAGTGCCATATGGAGTTCACAAATAAATTTAATTTCTTCTTTCGTTCAAACTTTTTTTTCTTCTTTCTCTCTCATTCTCTCTCCCCTTTCTGCTTGTCGTCAGTTTATTTTGTGTATGAAATGAAAATGAAAAGAAGTTGTTTATGTACAAATATATTTACAAACGGAAAACAATTTGTATAGGTTCCACATGAAGGAATCTTCCTTGATTTAAAAGTTTTGCAAAGATTTTGATTAAGTTTAAAATTTGAAATCTGATCGCAGTTGAAGGAGCTTGTGTGCTGATAGTGAAAGGATTTTTATAAGTTTGCTTACTTTCAAATGGATTTGGAACATGTCTGAGGATTATAGCTGAATATTGCACAAAATAAACGAATCTAACTTTAATTAAGGTATTTAAGGCTTGAATCCTAGGAGAATGATCATCAGAAGATTAAAAACTAAGCAGCTTTCTCTTGAAAATCTATTTAAACACAAGCAGCTCATTAAGGAATACTATTTCTTAAAAACATAAAACCTTAGCAGAATAATCTTTACCACGCAGTCCAGCATATGCATAAAGTGACTTTCTTTCCCGTTTATGTCATTTTCAACAAGGGTAACGAGAGGATCAAGCAACAAAAATAAGTTTGAAAGAAAAAGAAAAAGGAACAAAACTTTGATGATGAAGTCAAGAGAAAAAGAATAAATAAAAATGAGATTTGTGGCATGTCTAACACAAGGAATGGAAAAAAAATTGTAATAAATAAACTCAAAAGTAAAAAATTTGTAAGTAGAAAAGTTTTTTGTTGGGTGCATGTGTCTTGCGTCTCCTTATTGCTGTATGTTTATTTTTTGATAAGATGAGTTTTGTTAAGTTGGAAAGTTATTGGTGATGCAGGGCGTAGCCTGGATTTTTCAAGGGGGTTCCCAAAAAATTTTTTTTATATCAATAAAACCCGGGCACATAAGACCCCCCCCCCCCCCCTGGCTACGCCCCTGTAGTAATGCGTGGATAGATGGCATTTTTGAGCAAGAACACTTCTGCAATTTTTGGATTAAAATTCAATTTTCAAATTTTGGAAAATTATGCCCAACCTCAAATGATGAGCCCCAAACCCAATAAAATTCCTTAATGTCTAGCAGAGAACTTTCTCATTTTCATGCAAATTAATATTTTTTTTCTAAGATGGAAGCAATTTGTTTGTTTTTTGTTTGTGTCATTAAAACAATCTTTCCATAATAATTACAATTTATGCTTATAAGAGAGGAAGAAACAGAAGGACTTTTATGACCAAATTATCTCAAACAACTGTATGTGACATATGTTGCTGTTGCTTGAGAAATATTGCTTGAGAAGGAAGAAAAATTGCTGGAAGCTGAAGAGCATTCAAAAGAAATGAATGGAAAATTATAATAATAAGATAAACAGATGGAGAATATTGTGAGATAATTGTAATAAATGGGAGATAATTGTGCTGTGTCTTTATTGTTGTGGCAATTAGAATTATATTGTGAATAGCAGTGGTGTGGCTAGTCAGAATATTCAGAATAATAGAGGGTAAGTTAAATTCTTGATGTAATAGAGTGCAGCTTAAATAGAGAAAGATAAATGTCATTTATTTCGCTGGATATAGAAAAAAATGTGTTATTAATTTGAATCTGTGGTGTCAATTTTTTTTAAAAAAAATATTGTGTATTTGTAAGAACATCAAAAAGTTTTGCATCAATCAGTTTTGTGTAAGTGTCAAGCAGAAGATATTGCGGTTATTTATTAAAATTTCCATTAATAGCATTAAAGACTTTGCAGAATTTCAAAAAGTTTAATTCAACATAAAAAAGTTCACACAGGAACATCAAGGACAATGAAAGATAAGCATTGCGATTAATAGATTTATAAAACACATTAATTAATGTTGATAATGTCACTGTCCTGAATATTACATATCATAATTTGTGATTTATTACATTATTCGAAATAATTAATTTATGGTTATACAACAAATGCTTGCAAAGATATACAATTTGTGGTCAGTACGGATATTATTGGTGTAATTATACATCGTACAACATAGTTACTGAAAAAATCAAGGGAAACATTTTATACAACATATTAATTATTTTATTGGCAATATATATAGGTAGATATAGGTGGGATATCAAAAAAGAAGAGCAGGATGTGAATCACAAAAGCTTTTGATATTTGAAAAATTTGCTTTATTTTTTGTCTTTCAAAATGTTATTTTTTGTCACACGAAATAAATTATTCAAAAGAAAATTTCAGATTTTGCGGACATTTTTAGCATTTCCTGACAACTCACCATTTTATAATCATCTATTTTAGATATTGACCTAAGAAACATGTTGACATTCACCGTACAAGCACCGTCTACAAAACGATTCAGTATATATTGTGGTTAATTTATCTCGTATTTAAATTCATTCTTTTTGATATATTTTGTGTATTAGTTGAGTTAGAAATTTTCATATTTTTTTAATAAATTTTTCTTTTGATATTTTTTATTCTGCCAAAAATGAATCTCATTTTGAAATATTTTTGTAGTTTGTCGCATTAAGAATCAAATTGTACATAACATGGCTAGTAGAGCTCATTGAATTTTTTTGCCAGTTTTTTAATTTAAGATTAAATGTCGTCGTTAGGCATCGAGGCCCAAATGTTACATAAAAGTAGTCTTTAGCAGCTTGAATCCTCAAATTGCATCAGAAAAAAAATCCTTAAAAGTATTCTATAAACCAGAAAATCTATCTCAATCAATCAGAGAATATATAGGGATTTGCAGCTCCAAAATCCCTTTTTAGATATTATTCTAGTTCATCTGATTGCATAGTTGTAGTAAGATCTGAATATGTTGTGTGTATAGTTCCTATATGTATGTAGAACATACATATACATATGAGATTGAAAATATATAAAACGAAATATCTAAAAAATAAACTTTTTAAGGCTATAAACTAAAACGAAAAACCGAGTGAAATCAAATGAATGAAAAATGGAGATGTAGGAAGGAGCACAGCAATAGCTATAGAGAGCGAGAAAAGATAAAAGCAAAAAAAGTTAAATGAAATAAATGTAAAAAGAGATTTCATATGAATGATTGAAAAAGTACAAAGGATAGGGTTTACTCCTTCCGCAATCAAGCTTTGGAACTGGTTTTACGAATTTTGAAATTTTGAGGCTGTTTAAAACGTTGAAGTAAGGGAAAACCATTGAGATTATATTAAACAGTATTGCAACCTACACATTGATCACTTCTTGTACCAAAAAGGCGTATAAAATCTAAATTCCATAGCAACATGAGCTATAGGACCCAAAATAACAGTTTAACCCCCGTAATCTCAACAAAAATCTAATCTGAAATTTTCTATAAATAATCTTTGCAAATAAACTTCCTCAAAACTTTGAAATTTTCGAATAAAAATGTATGAACGAAATAGAATTTCTTTTTTTTATGGCACAAACTACGACTGAATCCAAGCCATTGAAATGATTCTATTTTTTCTATACATGAAAACTATCAAACTAACACCATAAAAATAAATGGCTCCATCCAAAGCTTGTCATTCTACCTCTATCTCCCAAAAATTCGATTGTTTTTCGAAAAAAAAAATATTCATCGTCGGTGATCTTTTGTTTTTATTGGGTAGAATATTCTAACCATGCATGTATGTATGTATGTATGTATATATGTATGATTGAAGGAAGCTAAAAAAATGTAATTTAAATAAAAATTTTATTTTTATATATTCTGTGTTTTTATTCGATTCTTTCCTGAAACGGTGTAGAAAGGAGCATTTCGATGATGATGATGATGAAAAAAATGTAAAACAGAAAAAAGCTTATTTTAAGAGCTTCTAAAGTCTAAAAGGCTTACTAAGGCTTTACGTTTTTCATCTCTCTATGTTTTTTTTCTCTATATACTCCTCGTGTTACAAGCAAACAAGGCAACATGAATATTTTTTTGTGTAACACGTTTTACGTATGAACAGCGATTTTTTTTTCTCTCTTTCTATTTAGCCATTTGGCGACGAAAACGACGACAGAATGTGTCTATATGATACTTATTTATTGTTTGTTATTGTCATAAATGGTTATTGTTGTTGGAGGATTTTTTTCGTGTAGTAAAAAAGTTTATTTTAAAGTGAAAGGAATTCAAGGCTTTTAAACTAATTAGGTAGATTAAATTTTCTTGTGTCTGTTGGAATTTTGTCAAAATTTTTCTATAGGATCATATGCAAATGGTGCTTGCATAGCTTGTTTGATTTGATTTAATTTCCATTTCTATTGCCATTAAAACTTATTTCTTTTGACTTATTTAAAAAATTGCTGTTGAAAAGTCTTTAAATTTTATGATTTGAAAAAAGATTTCAGAAGTTAAGCATCATACATCCTACAGCATATGTGATCGTAAAAAATTTAAAATGTCTGTAAAATCCATCATGTTTTTTTGTTTGTCAAATACAATGATAAACAACTTGAGCGGAATCAATATTGATGAGTAAATCATTTAAGCAGGAACTTTTTTGCATATTGGAAATAAAATTACAGAATCATCATTTAACCTTGACATTTTCATGCTTTGACATTTCAGCATATTTGAATGAAAAATCTACTTAAACCATCTGAGTCATTATAAATTGAATTTCAGCCATTGGAATAACAATGAGGAAAAGGTCGCAATAAATTTTCATTTTGGGGAAAACTTTTTGACCTTTAAAATTCATTGAATTGCAATTTTATATATTATACGCAAAATGTTGGAATCACTGACTCGAATACAAACTTATATTGCATCACTCATCAAAATATTCAATATCCAACAGGTGTTCATTAAGAAAATTCAATTAAATCTCTTCCAAAAGTGAAAAAGCCTCAAATCAGCTGAATTCTATCAAATTTTTCATTTCAAACATATTCATAAAATATTTGATGTGGAAATCCAGACAGAGAGAATTGAAAATGAATTGAATCAAGAAAATATTGTGTGAAGCAGCAAATGCAAATATTGGTAAAATGTGAGGAAGAAATAGAACGAAGAAATTTATAATTGAATAAAATTCTCGAGTTTTTGAATGAAATTAAGGATGTGTATATTAGTTCATGAGTTATTTTATTTCCAAAATCAATAAGTCAGTTGATCTGAGTTGTTACTCAAGTTCAACTCAAGATTTTATTGCTATTGAGCTTGACTCAAGAGATTATACAGTCACTACAAATCAAGCATTACCAAGATAACAACCCTATTCTTCATACAAGATCTTACTGGCCAACTGAAAATGGAAATTCTGATTTTAAAAATTCACAATTTTATAAATTCCAATTCAAATTTTGTTTTCGTAGTTCCAATGTGGTTACTATCGATGGTTGCTGTCGGTTATGTTTCACAAAGTTTCATCTTTTAATTGAATCAAATTTAATTTGTTTTCATCCCATTCCTTGAACAGAAGAGCACGAGGCTATTTTTTTAAGGGTTTTTGAGGTTATTTTAAAATTTGCTAGAATTTTAAAATTCTATATGAATAATTCAAAACCAATTTATGAGATATCCAATATTATTGAGTTTACATTATTCAAATTTGCATTTAAAAAAAATGATTGAAGGAAATTGTAAAATTTGCAAAAGAAAATCAAATTAAATTTATCAATTCAGTTTCCTGGGAAAAAGGGAACTTCCATTACATAATTGGAATGAAAATGATATCACATCAAACATTCAATCAAAAAAAAAGTGAATAAAAAAGAGGATGAAGGAAGAATCAAAGAAATTAGTTTTGTGTTCTGACTGTATTGGATATGCAACATACACAAAAAAAAATAAGGAAAAGTGGAAACAAAAATGGAAATTAATTGATTCCCATCTCTCTGAGATAAACAAGAAAAAAATGAGAATCTGAAGGTCCTTTAACATGTAGATCGACATGTTAATGACTGTAATGACGATAATGATAATGATGACTGTGAAGAAGTACGAATAAACTCCTTCAATTAATAATCAACAAAAATGTTATTGCTAATTCCATCCTGACAAAATGTTAATGAACGAATGTTTATTTATTTAATTAATTTTATGTCCTCATATCTAGCAGATTCAACTTCCTATATGGATATTAATTATTAACAAGAAAATATGCCAGTTTATTCAATATTCAGTGGAATTTATTCAGTGAATGTCTTTAATTGTACGTTCTAATTAAGTAAGTTGGCAGTTTTGTGAAGAAAATTTGTTTTTATTGAAAATTAAGATTATAGACCTAGAAAAGCTTAGTTAAGGTCTTTTTATGACCTACTTGTGGATATTTTGGAAGTTTCATGGTCTTAGTTTAATATTTGTTTTTATTAAACTTTATTGCAAATTAACTAGAAATTAATTAAAATATGAAGGATTTAATCCTGGATCATTCTTTGTTTCACTAAAATTTGCTGAAATTTGATCTTAAAACTATTAAAAAAGATGTGATCAAACCTTTTTTGAAATGACAAGGCTCTTAATTAATAGAATTTCACGAATACAATCACAGTGAATGTACAGAAAATCTTTAGAAACTTTGAATCATCTCGTCACAAATAAATTCCAATTTTTCATCAAAAGCTTTATAAAAAATTTTATTGTTAGAACTTCCTCATTTGGAACTTTTAACTTAGAATTCAATTAATATTTCATTTATTTTTCACATCAGGAAGTTTTCCTCCATATCATCATTATCATTACTTTCATATTTTAGAGAAAAAAATCAAAAGATGATGAAAGAAAAATTCAGCTTTAGAAAAAATTAAAAACTTTCTCATTTCCAAGCTGAATTAAAAGAATGATGAAAAATTTACTTAAATAAAATTATTATTCAAAGATTATCTCATGTGTTTCTTGCATCTCAGACTTCTCAAATAATTATGGTGTCATGTTGTCATTTTACATCTTAAAATAAAATATTCATCCTTACATTTTTTTTCATACATGTGCTCCCTTAAGGAATCGAGTATTATATAAAAACCAAAGAGAGTAGCTCCAAAGGTACTTAACGTAAGAAAAAATTTACATTTCAAATACATATATTCTTGGGAAAGTGATGGAAGAACAACGAGTATAAGAGAAACATAAAGATGACATGGATAATGATGGTAAATGAATTGGATATGTCTGTAAATATGTGTTTGTGTCTTGAATATGAAAAAAAAAATCTAATTAGGTAATGTCAACAGACACAAGATGGAAATAAAATACGTAAAGGAACGATTTCTAAAGAGTTTTTGTTCATGTTTTATTTTGTGGAAAAAATTATTTTAAGGAAATGATATAAAATGGATTGTCAAGCTTTTTGAAAATATTTTTTTAAGAACTAGCTCAAGCATTGCTCAAGCAATGCGTTAATGTT